CTTCCAGCATTCCGGGCACATATCTCCTTGATCCCGAGCTAGGACGCTCCAAGACTGCCAAACTCCAATCCCCAAACCCTTCGTCTAAAAGTCGACACGAACCCTGTAGTCGCAGTTCTCGGTCTCGTGTGCAGGTTAAGGGCATTTTAAAGTCTTGAAGGGTTTAAGCTTTGGTTTTCAAGTTTGACCGAATTTTGGATAGGTGGATGTGGCTGGTAGGTGCTTCAGAGTTCGGTTACATGGTTTACTGTTGTCGACCTCACCAAAAGACCTGACCAGATCCCAACCCCCGACACGAAGCGCAAAGTCACTCATGTCACACATCCTGCATACCCAAGACTTACCAGTCTGTTTATTTGACGGCATTCTCGCGCAAGGATCCCAAAACTCCAACCCCAGTTCCAAACACACATGGCCTGTGTACGTCTGTCTGCATGTATGCAGTATGCATGCGGACACACACCTGCATGTCTTTTTTTTTCTCTCTCTCTCTCTCTCTCTCTCTCGCTCTCTCTCGGAGCCTAAACACCAGATTCCCCAAGCAGAAGATTCCGACCTACCATCGAGTACCGACCCTCTTGCAGGGCATGTGGAGCAGAGCAAGAGCGGCTCCCAAAACTCGAGACCGAAGCCCGAAGACCCACCCTTGCTTGGAGCGTCGGGGGACTTAGTAAGTAGGTAGTAAGTAGACTTATAAGTACACTATAGGGACCCTAATTGGGGTTATGGTGCTTATAAGTCCCTAAAATAACCAGTTACTAAGTCCCCCGACCCTCCAAGTGTCCCATCCACTCCTTCGCAGATCCACCTGTCCCAACGGCGGAGGCCTGAGGACATCGACCCGGAGCGAAGTTCTTGGGAGCCTCGAGCATTTAAGTACCTTTTTACTTGGTTTGTTTTTGAAGGTTTCGGGTTCAGGAATCTTGAGTGTAGCAACAAAACATAAGTTAGAGGTTTCCTGCCTGTGCCAGAGTGGACACTACCCTTAAGCTGCATCATGGGCAGGGGCGCTTCTTTGTTTAGTTGCTTGACTTGCGGACCCTTTTCTTTTCCAGCAGATTTCATGCATTATTGCGTCTTCTGTTTGGACCTCTGGGTGCCAGACACCCCAACAAGGATGGTCATGTAGATTTTAGTGTATACAACTTGTTTATGGTTAGGGGACCGTTTCGTCTCAGCACAGAATTAGACTCAGGCAGTACCGACAGCTTTTGTGGAACAGCTCCAGGCAGGGTGAGTGTTCAGAAGGTGTTGGGGCAGTCGGGTTTTAAGGTGCTTAGCTGTCATCAGCGTAAAGCCTGACGGATTTCTGTGGCTGGTTTCAGTAGAGTTTCATCGGGACCAGTGCTGATTGTTTCGTGCTCTGGGACTGCGATGATGAAGCTGTGTTACTATAGGGGCCTTAATAATTAGAATAGGGTTTTGGGGCCCATGATACCATAATCATAGTAAGGAGCCCCAAAATAGTATAGGCGATAGGTAATTATTGCGGCCACTATGTTACGTTTTGTCATCTTGCGGGGTAGTACAGGAGACTCAGAACGCGAAGCCAAAGCTCAGCAATCGAAGCAGTGGTAACGGTTAACCACAAAAAGCCAGAAGGGTTTTGTCGAACCGGGCTGGAGCTTTCGTTAGGAAACCGGCAAACCGAACTTCCTTGCCCGGCTTTCAACCTTAGGAAGCTTTGCCATGTGTGGCGAAGGCCGAAGTTTCACACCTTCTGCTGTGATCGCATGAGTTGGGCAGGCCCATGGACATGGAACACTATCAGTAGTCTCCTTGACCACACACTAACGATCCCGAAGCAGCACGGGAATTTTTTGACATTCTGATCATCCCCTCCAGGCCGACTTGAACCTGCGCGTGGAGCAGGCAAGCGGGATTCCGGGATCAGCTTGAGGTTGGAAAATCTACGAGTGGCTTCAGAGTCAGAGACTTGATAAGTGCTCGTGTGCAATACACCTGAAAAGGGCTTTCGTGCCCGGTCCGTCATTACCAAAAGCGGATAAATCATTCTGGGAGTGACCATGGCGCTAGGCTGTCGGCAAGGGGGTACACAGCACGAGGGTGTTGCGTTCCCGCCTCAGGGCTTTAGCGGCTGTGGGGTCCGTGGATATATTGAACCTGGGCTGGGCTAACTATCACGAACGGCGAGCCCTGTGAGCGTGCAAGTCGGTTGATGCAGGACATGCGCATTGCAGACTTCTATGTGCTGCCGCTGATGCTGTACGGGCCAGGCAGGGCGTTGTCTGTTAACTGTTGGCTGCTACATTCGTGTCATTGTTGACCATCTTTCAGTTCCAACAGTGCTCTTAGTAGGAATCGGAGCACCTGCATGTTTCACATGCATGAGACGTATCAAGACAAGATTGGAAAGACTGTATTGAACGCATGAGTCCTACTTCAATCAGCACGTCATGAAGAGTATCAACATCGCAAAACTTCGAGCAATAGCAGCAACAGCCGGACTAGTAGTCATAACACTATTGGTGCTGTTTCTAGCCAGAACAAAGCCAGCTTCCCAGCTCAGATGACTCCTGCGTGGCATTGGACTTCGACACCACATCACCGCCTTGGCTGCCAGAAGTTTTGAGCTCAGAGGGTTTGGTTTGGGGTTTAGGGATTAATTCCAGAGATTTCTTTTCTGTCGAAGCATTTTCGCAGGGCAGGGCTTGGAAATGGGCTGTGTCACAACCGTTCGCTCTGAAATCCACACGGAGACCGCGGCCCTGAGAACGCGGGAGCCACATGATAGCCAGGATTAGCGGATTCAGTGCTGTCCAGCAAACGCACAGTCGGATGCAATAGAGTATGATGATCTGACGCTTGGTTGGTTCTGTATGAGCTTGTCATGTTTCACAATGTTCAGTTGGGGTGATGGGAGTGGCCTGCAACACCCCAACACCATGAACCCTCAAGTCTGCACCCCGAAGCCCAAGCCCCAAGCCATGGCAAGATGAAGCTCATGAATGCCCATGGCATGCCGCTACAAAAGCCCTTAGTATAGGGGCTTAAATAGTTACCAGTACTATTGTGGGGGCTCCTCATTACAATTATAGAAAAACGGGCTCCAAAACCCTATTATATCAAAGCCCCCGCCAACGCCCTTGGTCTCAACGTTTCAAGACCCTCACTTCTCTCTCGAGGCCGAGCAGCCCAGGCGTCTCTTTCAGCTGCTGAAGCAAAGGCCTCGCCGTGTATACATGTAAAATAGGGGCTTATATAATTACCCCTACTATTTCGGGGGGCTCCTGAATATAATTAACTATAGTATAATGGGCCCCGAAACCCTCTTCTAATGATTGAGGCCCTTATACACTATGCACTCACGCACTTACTTGTGTGCTTGCACATGTGTGTTTCGTGTATGGTCCTGTATGCATGAAGAGAAGTACTTGCATGAATGCACGCGCGTACCTACCTGTATGATCCGGTATGCAGGCACAGAAGTTCTTGCCGTGGATCTCACCTATGTTAGATGAGACATCCTACAACCGTTCACCCGGCATGCCTGCCCAGATGTGCTTACCCATGTGCATGCAGCCATGTACTTGTGTCTCTGCATGCGCACATGTACATCCCTTCAGGTATGTGAGCATACATGCACATATGCCCATGTATATATGCATGTATGCATGCATGCATGCATGTAGGTATGTATGTACCTATGCATGTACGTAGCATGCATGCATGCATGTATGTATATATGTATGCATGCATGCTACTTTATGTTATGTTATACTATGTCAGCGATGCCACGTAATGTCATGTAATGTTATGTAATGCTTGTAAGTATGTCGGCATGTAGTTGTGTTTTTGCGTGTTCGGGTGGATGGATGGTAGGTAGGTCGGTAGGCAGGAGAGCAGGTAGATAGATATTGTGGCTGTAAGAATCATGATATGTACTTAGTTGTGTGTGTGTGCGCATGTGTGCGTGCGTGTGTATGTGCTTTCGATTATTCGTTAGCTCGCCAGCTAGTTATTTAGTTTGATCGGCTCGTTTGTTTGTGTGTTTCTTTGTTTTGTTCCTTGTCTTTTGTTCAGTCTTTCGCTCGTTCGTCGCCGGGTGGCCTTTAGCCAGCCAGTTGATTGGTCAGCTGGCTGGTTGGTTGGTTGGTTGGCCGGCTGGCTGGCTGGTTGGTTGATTGTTCGGTTAGCTGGCTAGTTGGTTAGTTAGTTGGTTGGTAAGTAAGTTAGGTACGGACTTGGCTAGTCAACTAGCTAACTCTTTGGGTAAGTTCGTTGGTTAGGTGGTGAGCTAGTTGTGTCTGTTTATGTTTTGTCTGTCTGCCTGCCTGCCCGTCTGCCCGTCTGCCAGTCTGCCCGCCCGCCTGCCCTGCTCCGGCCTGCCCTGCCTCTGCCTTTTCTCTGGCCTCTCTGCCTCGACCTCCGCTTCCGCGCCTCTGCCTCTGCCTTTGCTTCCACCTCCGCCTTTGCCCGCGCTTTTTCCTCTGCCTCCCTGCCTCTGCCTCGGCCTCCGCCTCGGCCTCTACCTCTGCCTGTCTGCCGCTTGCCCGCCCGACCACCCGTCTGCCTACCTGCCTGCTGGCTGGCTGTCTGTCCGTGTTGTGTTTGTGTCTCTTTCACTTCACGTTTCGAATAGCTCCGAACTGGAGGAAGCAAAGGCTGGGGCAAGAAAAGACGAGTTCCGAAGATCGGCAGACGGTACGGTACCGCCTTGCTGCTTGTTGATGCCACTGCTGCTGCTGTCCTTCCTTGACTTTCTGAAGGCACCTGGCTCTTTGGAACATTCCGCTCATCTGGCTGAGGACACTTGCAGTGGCTTCAGGTTTCCACCTTTGCTGAAGTTAGGGCAGATTTGGCCTTTGCAGGGTTGAAACACTGACGAGGCTTCTGCGAGTGCCTCGAAACTTGCAGCCCCCTAAACCCTAAACCCCTAAACCCTAAAGCCCTAAACCCCCAAACCCCTAAACCCCAAGCCCTCAAGATCTGGCTTCAAGCGTTGTGGAAGTCCAGGAGCTGCCCTCGGGCGAAGCTGGAGGAACAAGGCCTACTAGAGGGGCTTAAATAATTAAGGTTTAAGCACTATAGGGATTTTTTAAAAGGGGTCAATAAGGTCCACTTAGGGTTCCTTTAAAAGGGGTCTATAAGGGTAAGGGCCACGAAAATAAGGGGTATTCTGGTGGTTTTGTATAGGGGTCTTAACAATTACCTATGTTTTTTTTTTGTGCGGGGGTTCATGCTTATAGTTATAGTATAATGGGCGCCAAACCCATTCTAATCATTAAGGCCCCTATATTAGACGCAGACTTTGGCTTTGGATGAGCTTTTTCTGTTGTGAGGCCTTCAGTTCTCGAGAAATTTAGCATATTGCATATTTGATTATTCCGGCCCCTATACTAAACCCTTAATACCCCCTTAATAGCAGCCCTTATAGACCCCTTTGAAGGAACGCTAAACCCCAATACATGCAGAGAAGGAGCGACACGCCTAGTCGCGGCGTAGTCGTTTTGCCACATTATCACCAATTGGTTTTTGTGCGACCCTGCATCTATTAACCAACTGCTCTGTGCATTCAGTTTCTGATAGCGTAAACTGTTCTCAAACATGAAAGAGAAGTTCATGGTGCCTGCAGCATTACGACTGTGCAAAACTGCTTGCTACGGCAGTCGCATGCAGGAGAATCTGAGGAAGAACAGCACATGTCAGCAGGAGGGGGGATTGAGCAACCCATCAAGTTTACCAAGGGCGGTTGAGGGTTTAGGGCTTTAGGTGTCTAGGACTTCGGGGTACAGTATTGCTTGAAGCGTTCAGGGCGACTCACCTCTGTGGCGGAACCTTCAGGGCTGCGCTTGCCTGGTGATGTCGTGCTGCTTGCGACCTTGGACCTGGATTATCGGCATGACTATCATACTCTGCACGGCAATAAGATACTTTTCTACTAGGCCGGGATCCGTAAACCCATGCCAGAGAGCCGGACGGTGGGCGCATAGAAGCTTGAATAGAGACTGATATCATCTGTCAGGGCTTCTCATTATAACGGTACTATAGTATAATCGATTACTTTTTTATGCCAAGCGCTATTCAAACTGTGAAGGTCGTCATATAAGCAGTTTGATGCCTACACAGCCTACACAGGTAACGCCCTAAACCCTAAACCCTAGCTTCATACTCCCAAGCGAGTCCTACCCAAGGCGATGAGTTCCGGAACCAGTTTGTCAGCCCCTGAAGACCATGCCCTCAAGCTTCAAGATGTAAGATGCTTGATGTAAAGGTTTTTTGGGTATATTACACCATAATTCTAATAATCAACCCCAGAATAATGAATAGTAGTGGTAACCTTCAAACCAAAACCGTGCAAGGGAATGGATGGGCTTCCAACGAGTACAGCCACTCTGGACCTAAAATCCCGAACCCCAAACTCTATAATCAATGCCCAAACACCGAAACCCTGAACCCTAAACCCTGAACTCTAAACCCTGAACCCAGAATCCAGAGCCAAGACCGCCGGCACCCAGAGGCCCTTATCTAGAGGCGGCCCTGCGACGAGCGCTAGTCCGGGCCCAAGAAGCACAGTAACATAATGTGGGAGTTTCCGATAATAGGGGACCCCAATATAGTACCCTAAATAGTAGGATCCTTATTATAAGGGTCCCAAAATAAGGTACCCTATTTTCGGAAACTCCCATGTAAGGGCGTTAGTGATTACCCACACTATTCTTGGGTTTCCCCAGAATAATAATGGTATAATCTACCCAAAAACCCCCTTCGATGAAGCGTCTTGCATCTTGGCATAGGTTCTCCTGTAGGTTGTTTTGTGCTGCTTCGGGCCTACAATGCCACGAAAACCAGATCGGATTGCCAACGAAGCCGACCCGGCGAGGCTTCGAACCGGGACACAGACTGGCTGCCAATCCCATATATATATATATATATATATATATATTTATTTATTTATTTATTATTATATTATATTATATAATGTATATATATATATATATATATGTATATGTATGTATACATCAGCGCCGTGGACCAGAAGGTGGAGGACACGTCCAGGCGGCGACCAAGGCGATCGCTCAGCCCGAGGTGAACACGACAGTGCCGGCGCCGAGCGTGCGGGGCCTTGGGTCATGCCTCTTTGGATCGGACACTTCGTGTGGACCGTGGATGAAAGTATGTGGCGCTGCGCCCAAAAATGCGGTGACGAGACGAAAGCGGGACGAGGAGAGCAGCGACACGCGGCTTCCGCTAGTGAGTTCAGGGGTTTCACGGTGTAGGTCAAGCTTTGAAAGCTCGTGTGCAAGGGCTACGGTACTGGGTTTGAGTTGTGGGATACTTACTGGCCCAGGTACTTTACAATCTGAACCCGCCTTCGTTCTATTCCGTCTACGGCTCAGGGTTGCTACCACGATGATGATGTGTTATGAGGTCTCCAACTTCTCTGAGTCCCAACTCCCTGCAATTGACGCCCGCCTGAATGCACGGTGAAACGACCAGCCTGAATGCATCGGCGGCGAGGTGGGCCCAATGTCGTGAGACTGACTGTTGAGTCGAAGCAGGCATCGCATACCAGCTTTGTCCTCGGAGTGTTCCCATAAAGTACTAGGTACATGGGCTTGTGATATGATGTGACGTTTCGTTGGAGCAGTTCTGACTGGACCTTGACTGTCGGAGGGGTGGAACGATACGTTCAAGGCTCCTGAAAGTGGAAGCCGTGAAGAACCAACAGCTCCGCCAATTGCTGCAATTGGATTTCGGGGCATCTTTGGAGTTTGGTCACATTGGTGTTTTTCCACTGAACCCCGACTGGTTTATCTTACATTATAATAGCCATAGTAGTATACTATAGCCTACTATGAATAGGCCAACGTAAACAATAGGGGCCTGGATAATTACCAATACTATTTTGGGGGTTCTTTATCATACATATTAGTATTATGGGCCCCACAACCCCAATTCTAGTTATTAAGGCCCCTTAGTGCTTGATTCTTTGCTGCGTTCCCGCATTGCCAGATCCCGGGGCCCTGATCCTGCGCGTGAGCGCACTCCTTGAACGTGATGACCACTGCCCTTGCCTCAGAGCTGTCCGGCCTGCGTCCCGAAGCAATTCAGCCAGCAGCAGTAGCAGTGGCAGCAGAACTAGCAGCAAAAAAGGCACAGAGAGCAAAACTGACTACATCAATTGTGTTTGTGGAATTCTCGTCGCGAGAAGTGCCGCCGTCATCACAACCGCTCGCGGTTGTCTTCGTCGGCATCGTCACCACCATCAGCATAATCCTCGTCATCGTCTTCATCACTTACCAGGTTATCACCCGACTTCATAACCACCATCATCATAAGCGTCGTCATCAGCATCCTCGCTCCTCATGCGCCTTGCATCCGTCATTCCCCTGAGGAGGCTATCATAGGAGCCTAAATAATTACCAATACTATCTTAGGGGTTGCTTGTTATAACTATAGCTACTGTAGCACAATGGGCCCCAAAACCCTATTCTAATTATTAAGGCCCCCACATTTGCTGTGCGTGGGTGTGGGGCTCCGGCGCAGTGTTTTGGTTCACCGAGGTGTCTTGCGACGATCGCTGGTGCTGTCCTACGCTTGTGGAGCTTTGTCCATTGTCGTCGTGGCCTTAACGTCGCAGTCACAAGTGTATAAACAAGTGCATATTTTCTTACCTTTACATGTATATACTTATACACACACACACACACACATAACTCTCTCTCTCTGTGTATTTATATACAGAGAGTCAAATATATATATATATATACATATATTGTTTGTTTTTGTATATTTTCTGTCTATATGTATATATGTATATATGTGTATGTATATATACGTATATATATATATATATATATATATATATATATATATATATATATATGTATGTATATATATATATATATATGTGTATATATACACATGCATAAATGCATATATGTATGCGTTCATATATATATATATATATATATATACATACATATATATATATATATACATACATATATATATATAACATAATATACAAATGTAATATATAATATACAAAATATATAATATAATATAATATAGTATAATATAAAATAATATAATAGAATAGAATAGAATAGAATAGAATAGAATAGTATATTATATAATATAGTATAGTATAGTATAATATAATATAGTATAATATAGTATAATATAGTATAATATAATATAGTATATTGTAATATAATATAATATATTATAACATAATATAATATATATATATATATATATATACATACATACATACACATACATGTGTATATACACACACACTTATACATCTCGCTCTCTCTGTCTGTCTATCTCTGTCTATATCTATCTATCCATCTATCTACCTATTGCTACTACCGGATTGTCTCCCAACGTGCCAGGAGTCATGGGAGGTGGGACTCGTATAATGTGCAACATGTGATGCTCAGAGTTCAGTATACAGAATTGAACAGGGAAGACTCCTGTTACAGGTTGAACGATGCGGGGGCAAAACATGAAGAAACGAAAAGACATGCTACTGAAATCCGGTTTATGTAAAGCATAAACACCTTTCCCTGAATTCTGTGTGTATGTATACATGATCATCTATCATCATATTAGAATGTGCTGTGAATTACTCGTATACTAAGAATCAAGGTCCCTACAACGATCCGAATTTGCAGTAGTTGCGGTCCAACTTAGCAGTACTGACTCAGGACATGCAACCTTGGGAGAAATCCTTCAAGACCGAGCATCTCTTAGAAGGCTTCGCGGTTCAGGACTCCGGGTGTAGGGGCTTTAATGCTCAGAGATGGGGATTCGGGTTTAGGACGACTACTACTACTACTACTACTACTACTACTACTACTACTACTCCTGCTGCTACTACTACTACTACTACTACTCCTACCAGTGCTAGTACGAGTACTAGTGCTAGTAGTATTTGCCAGTAGCGGCATGGTGAACTGCTTTTGTAGTCATCTTCGTCTCGACCTGACAATCATAGAAACCTTGGGTGGTGAATGTTTAGACGGGAGGAAAACGTAGCAGATGCTGCTTCGGATTCTTTAGGGTTTAGGGTTTAAGGTTGGCTTCGTTGTCACAGGACTTCTTCACAGAGCACGGCACCAGGCAGGGAAGCTTTCCTAGTTGCTCAACATCTTATCGGACAATGGTTGCACAGAGATCCAACGCATAATCTTTCCCATGATCAGACAGTACAACGAACAGCAGCATGCGTTGATGTTTTGTAACGAAGTGTATGGGGATGCAGCAGTTGATGTCATGCATCCATGTCCGCGTCCACGCGTGCAGAGCATGCCTTTCAGTTTGTGGTCTTGCGACTGTTGCACGTTTCAGCGGCTTCCCTGTCACTGCAAAGGTCATGGCCAGCTCGCGCTCTCTCACGTTACTTCGTCGGTTTGTGCACCTTGGGTTCGACTCCGCACTTGCTGTTTGCAGCCTCAAGCGTAGAGGCCTTTTCCCGCGGCTACCAAGGGCCGCGGAGGGTCCGAGAATGCAGTGCTGCTGATCTCTGAAGAGATTTCAGCTGAAGCCATGCAGGTCTGCCAGTCTGTGGCGCTCCTGGTTGTGCTAGCGCTTAGGTGCAGCTAAGCCGCAGACGGGCTCGAAACATTGGTTTCAAAAGTGTCTGCGGCAGTTCGATAGCTTGGAACAGTGTTCAGTTTCCTTGACTCGAACCTCAACCCACAGCAAGGTGATGCAGGGCTTGTGGTGTCTTCGACGGGGTGCGACCCTGCCTGCGGTGCCCATGGCGCATGCAGGTCCGCAGGGGGCTGTGGGCAGTTCTGGCTTTTGTTGTGAGGCGTTACAGGCGCTACATCACCTAAACCTAGAACCTGGATCTAGGGACCAGCAAGCAGTGCGATAGTTTCATTGAGATATGCACATGCGTGTCAGGAAGAATAACATTTGTTGCTGAAGAATAATCTCGCGAGGTTCTTGAACAGATGGGCAGGGTTTAGAGACTGGCGTTTCCTGGAAGCATGCATTCTTGTATAATATGTATATGTATATATATATATATATATATATAAAACTTACTGGTTGTTGTATAACAAATATGTACATATATATTTAATCCCTTCCCCCTAATATTAAACCGCTCCCCCCCTCCCTAATATAAAAACTGGATTTCGGAGGTTTAGTTTTTATATTAGGGGGGGTTTCGGTTCGGTGCATCCACGTACCCGGACTCCCAGCTGCTAGCTATCCTAAGCCTGGAGCCCTGCTAAAGCCCTAAGCCCTAAGCCTCCAGCCCTAGACCCTAAAGCCCTGAGCCCTAAACTTTAAGCCCTAAAGCCCCAAGCCCTAACGCTTTAGCCCTGAGCCCTAAACCCTTAAACCTAAAGCTCTGGTGTCTTTAGTACAGGCGTAATCTTTGGCTCTATAAAGTCCTGAGCCCCTTAAACCCTAAAGCTCTGGTGTCTTTAGTATTACGGTAGTCTTCCTTGAATTAAAACACATACAGATCTGCCACCCCCCCCTAATGTTGCCCCCTTTAAATTGAACGCGGGGCCCGAACCCGCGAAATTCCCGGGGCCGGCAGTTTTTATATTAGGGGTGGGTTGAATGTTCAGGGGAAGCGATTATACATATATACATACACAGTACTCGACTATACACTATGTCCATCCTGTTGCCTGTGGGTTCGCACGTGTCGCAGGAGCGGTATTTGCGAATGTGAAGCTGGCTGGGCCGGCAAAGGTTGCAGCCTCTTCTTGGCTGACGAGGGTGCAGAACACTCCCCACAGCAGGTCATACCGATCCGCAAATTTCAGGATTATTTTGAAGCAGGGTGTCGTTTTTGGAGTCTAGGCACGAGGTGGTAGATGCCACCAGCAGAAGTCGTTTAACATTACCGACGGCTTGGCGAGCTGGACGTTGACCGCACGGGGAATGCACCTGACCAGAAAGCCCAGCAGTTGAACTTGCCAGACTGAGCCCTGACCCAACATTGCACGCGACAGCCTGAATTCACAAAACTCGGTGCCCAAGGCTTCGTGAACCCTCTCTGCTTACAAACGACGCCTCGCAGACACGGCACGATAATTGCAGGAGCATGTCAAACACATAAGGAGACGGGGGAGCCCAGGCGAAAGTCGTCTTGGAGCCTGCAGTGCTTTCACTGATCGAGCAGGCGGCAAACGCAAGCGCACCCAGAGGCGGCCTGGGGTGATCGTATGCCGCACTCAGTGAGTCATAAATAGGGATAGTGAAGGAGAAGCCAGGAACAAAGGTGACAGAACAGTCTGAGAAAAGAGAAGGAGGAACGAAACAAGAACACTAGAGAATCTTGGCAGTGCAAAACGTGACTGAGTTCAAAGCATGATCCTTCACAGGCCCTGCTCAGGCTCAAGGCCCATGTCTCGAGATTGAAAGACTGAGCCCCTGACAGCGAGACAGAAGAGACAGATGTTGACACTCTTGCAACACGGCGAGATGTACACGAACTGGCATCTGCTCAGCTCGAACCCAAAAGCACACTCTGACACTGATTGTTAGGCCGGATA